AATAAAATTATTCCCGTGCTAATTTCTCTAACAGGTGAAGTCAAATATGAATGAGAAGACATTAAACGGGGTAGCAGCAGAATTTGGTGACCAGACCTCAGAGGCCACAGATTCAACAAAAAACCTCCCCTCCGACGTCAACAATTTATCAAAATCTGAACTTGACGACCGAAATATTGTGGACAGTAGTAAAACAGACATTAAGAAGGATGAGAAAAAGGTTGAAGTCAAGGTGAGCTCCTCCGATGTTGACATGCAGGTGGAAAACAAAACTGAAAATGCCAACAAAAATGAAGTAGTAGTTGGTAGTAGTAGTGGCTGCAGTAGTAGTGGCAGTATTATCAACAAAAAATCCAATGATATTGTGTCTGGTGATAGTAAAGGATATGGAAGCAGCAGTAGTTGTGGTACTGGTAGTGGTAGTAAGCTTAAAGGTCAAGGATCTTCTGAAGCAGAGGTTAATAGTTTTGTTGCATTTTTGGAACCAATTATTTCAAATTTCATGTCAATAAATTATTTTAATAATCTCTGGATTGTAATTGTCAGGCAATTAAGGCTTCATGTTCGACTGGTAAATCCAATGATGATGATGACGACGACGATTCAGATGATGATGAGGACGATTCAGAGGCTGAGATGAACGATGATGACGACGACGACGATGAGGAGCATGACAAATGGAAGGCTCCAGAAGATAGTGAAGATGATGATGATAGGTAGGTAATTTTACTTTGAAGAAGATCAAAATTTGTGATGATGAAACTGATGTTCTGTGATGATAGTGAGATTAGAATGATGATTGCAAAATGATAATGGTGGTTGCAAAGGTTTCAATGTTGGTCAGATGTTGATCATGATGTATCTCGTTTTCATGCTATTATTAACCAGTGCATGTGTTATTCTTTATTGACTGAAAGAATGTTGTCAGTCATTTTTAGACTAAGGCCAACACCAAATCCATTTTGCAATTTTTGAAAATTTGTTTTAAAAAAATGTTTAATTTTCTTTATTCAGTGAAGAAGATGATGATGAAAAAAGCTTCATAAAGTTATTCAAAAGTTGTGATGACGACGACGAGGAGGAAGATGGAGAGGATGAGGAGGATGAAGAGGAACACGAAGATGTACTCAGCATTGGGGATAAGGTTTAACTAATTATTGAGTCTATTTTTTCTCAGTTTCTCAGTGCTTAATTTTAAGCACTTTTTGGAAAAGTTCACCTAGTGCTTCTGCAATATTTTTTTACTTAGTTTGTTTTAAAATTTTCAAGTTGAATTGTTTCTAAATAGAATTACATATTAGAGATAGTTTTTCATCTAGACTGAAATCAATGAATTAAACATTTTCACCTAAATTGTTCTTTTTTTAATATTGACTTATCTGTCTTTTTGTAGTAAATGAATTAATGATGGTTTATGTATTGAGAGCATTTAAAGTATATAATGAATTCATAATGCATTTAATAAAATTGTAATATATGTCAAATAAAGAATAAACTTCATTTTTCTTAAAATAAATTTCAATAATTTGAATGCTTTTCAATAATTGAATTGTTGAAAAGCCTGGATCAGATAGTGGATGCACAGCTGTTGTTGCCTTGCTCAGGGGGAAGGATTTGTATGTGGCTAATGCTGGAGATTCCAGGTTTGCATCTCTGTGTGTTTATGTATGCTTCCGTGTGTTTGTGTGTGTGTGAGAGAGAGAGAGAGAGAGTTTATTTAGCTTCTATAGAAAATTTGATTGCCTCCAAATGAAATTTTGTACTCTCTTTTTTTGTTTTTTTTTTCTTCTATTCTGTGTGTGAGAGAGAGAGATCTTATTTAGCTTCTGTAGAAAATTTGATTGCTTCCGAGTGAAATTTTGTACTCTCTTCTTACTTATAGAATAGTATTTGTTAAAGAAGAAATCAATCAAACGTTATATAGCACTTGTGAATGTACACATTAAGAAATTTTTCCAAAAACGTCATAGGTGCGTCGTGTGTCGAGGTGTGAAAGCATTCGACATGTCCATCGACCACAAACCGGAGGATGACATTGAGACGCAGAGAATTCACAAGGCGGGTGGTAAAATAACGTGCGACGGTAGAGTCAACGGGGGCCTCAATCTTTCCAGGGCCATTGGTATATAATTGTTATTTGTCTCATTCTATTGGTATTTCTTTAATTTTTATATTTATTTTATTTGTTTTGTTATCTATTTATTTATTATTATTATTAATTTTATTTGTCCTTTTTGTGTGTTTCTTTCATTTTCATTCTTTTCACTGTGTTTTTGATCTATGCTTTGCTTTTGCTTCATTTCTATGTGTTTTTTAGCATAAAAAATTAAATAAATTTAGATGCATCGTATAGCTGTGATTCTAATCGTCACAATGATTTAGTTATTGGTTAATTGATTGATTAATTGGAACGGTTGATTGATTAACAGGCGACCACGTTTACAAACGCAACACAAAGTTGGAGTTGAAAGATCAGATGATAACAGCTCTACCAGACATCAAACATATCACACTGACCGATGAAGATAAATTCATGGTGCTTGCTTGTGATGGTATATGGTAAGTAAAATTCTTTGTAGTGTATGTACACATCATTGTTTAGAAACTAATTTTGTAATTATCGAAATTTTTCATGTATCACCTAATAATGAAG